AGCTCAGGAAAATATTATGTGGTTTGGAATAAAATATTTATTATCCTTCTCCATAGACCCCAGGATCCTGGAATTTTACTGTTCTTATTGTCTGTGAATTCAGTGGGAAATTCCACATCATAAGTTCTACTGCTTGTTCACAGACATTGATAACCTGATCTTGGTGCTGCTTAGTCTTGTGCAGAAGGCGTCTGAATAAACCCACCGGGTCACTATTGCATTGTGACAGTATGAGTTTCATGTTTTCCTTTCTGCTTCCTTTGGAAAATAAATCAATATGAAAGTGTTTTTAAAAGTCATGCACTCAATTTAATTGTAGTGAAAGTTTATATCACAATCTCAGAACTAGATTTTTCTGTTCTATACATTTTCATATGTTTAATGTGTATTGGTAATGATTTTTTACTTTTGGAAGTTTTAGTTTTGGAAGACTCTCATCATGTCATTGTGCATATAAAGCAAATGCCATGCAAGTAATTCCTTTGCTGACCACATGTACCTGTATTTTAGGTGGTTCGCTAGAATCAGTTATTGCTCAAGATGAACATCTACCTGAAGATGTAGTGAGAGAATTTGGTGTAGATTTGATTACCGGTTTACACCACATTCATAACCTTGGGATTGTCTTTTGTGAGCTGACACCTGGAAAGGTAACAAGGAGTATTATTTATAGTGGATATCACGTATTACTTTGTATGCAATCAGCATTTTATTCATGTTGTGCTGTTTTTGAGAGAATTACCTGATATTGGAAGCCAGTTGCATAACAGTAATTCTGTTGTTGATCCTGATTTGTAAGAGGTCAAGTTGCCCTTCTGTCTGAGTTTTCTGTAGGACTTGCACATTCATGCACCACGCATTCTGTTATTTGTGGGTAAAAGAGCAGTAAATGAAAGTTAATATGTAAGTAAAGCATAATGAAAATGCCTCTGTATTTTTCTGAAGAAGAATGTGTTAAAAAATAACAATAAAAAAAAAGTAAAAACTGTAAAGTACTCATCTGAACACAAATACAGAGTGCAAAAGTAAGATTCTCCCCTGCCCCTCTTCAACCCCCCACCCTCCCCCGGCCCATATCTAACTAAATGAGTGATTTTTTTCCAGACAATTTTGGGGGGATTATAAAGATTTTAATTAGGAAATCACTGACTACATAGGAAAAAGTTATCATTATCAAAATCATTACTTTTTTTGTCCAGCATAAAATTTAAAAAAAAATCACTTTTTTTGCCTAAAATGAATGAATGTTCCTTTTACTATCCTTTTACTTTATACACATTTTTACTTTAATTCTTATTTTTACTTTCTTTTCTACAGTAGCATCATCCATCATCCTTCATTTCAGCTTAATAATCAACGAACAAAAATATGAATGGAACCATTAATGTTGTGTCGTCACTTTATGTGATTTTTTTTGGTTACAAGAAAAAAAGTGATTTGTTTTGACTTATCAATGCTTTTAGATATGATAGTGATCATCTCTATTTACTTAAATGATTAAATTATTGTGATTTTATATAGTTTGTATTGGAAATTAGTGCAGCCACTGGTGTTAGTATCTGTTATGCTGGGTTATTTTATTCCTCTAGATTCTGCTGGAAGGGCCTGGCACTTTGAAGTTCAGTAACTTTTGCTTGGCTAAAGCAGATGGAGAAAACCTGGAAGAATTTTTTGCTTTAGTTGGATCTGAAGAAGCAGGAGGAGATGTTGTTGAAAGCACTCCACAAAGACACCTGAAAAACAGACTCCGAGGTAGGATATTTTTACCAGCTAAAATTAAACAGACAGAATGAAAGTGGGAAAAAACTGTTGTTATGCATAATTTTTGAGAGAAGTCTCAAAAAAGGTAGTTGATCAAAATTCTGATGTGGCTTATTGAATTCCTAGAGAAACAGAAAAATTCTGTTATGTCAACGTCTGTAAATGATGGCCTGTTTGTGTGATATGCAAGTTTTCTTTGAGCAGATTTTACGTATTCTGCATATAGGGAATTTTTTTTTTCCCAGGTAGGCTCAGAATGAAAATTTTGCTGTTAAGGAAGATTGTTAAGAGGGATTGTAACACACAGAGGGAACAACACCTGCAAGTGAGGAGGAAGAAGAAAAACTGTTTAGAAGTATATAGTCATAATTCTAAAGACAGTTTAAGCACCGGAAAAAATGTCCGTCATGGAATTTTTGTTAGATTAACAGTTGCTTACCTTTCTGTCTTGTTCTAAATAGACTTCATGTTATTTTTAGTTTGAAGCTTATATGTAGGCAATTGTAAAAAATAATGTAGTATGTAAGATTTCCACATGACTAGATTATTTTGAATTGCTTTTTGCAATTGACATCCCATACCATCTAATATACAAACTGCCTTTCTATCCTGAGCAAATATCATGTATGGATGTGATCTGAAACTGCTCAAAGTAGTGAATTGAAAATGCTAATTCTTCACTTGGGTTTGCTAAGGGGGCTTAAGTAATTTGCTTTTTAATGATAACTGATGTGGATTTGAAGAAAATATTTGTGAAATACCTTTGGTCCTTGATGCATTTCACATATTACCAATTAAGTATAAGTAGTAGAATTATAAAAATAAGAAAATCACTGAAGCTTCAGAAAAGCTGAGTCTTAACTGACTTTCCTAATTGACAAAATTATAATTTTACTACTTATCATACTAGGTACTGCAGATGGTCTCTCTAGGGTCTAGGGCTAATTTCCATTAAATTCATGATAAATGTATGCACAGTTCAGTAAGTACTATACTGAATTGCTGCTACTTTGATTGGAGATTTTGTATCCATTTAACAATAGCTTAGAGAATGGCTTTTGAGTTTTTTGACACAAGATTTTCACCATACTTTTTGCTTCAAGTGGTCTGTGTAATTTCCAGTATGATAGTTAATTGTTTCAGTACCGTTTACATAAGAAAGATTGTTTATTTTTGAAGCATGAAAAAGCTGTTATTGTGATTTAATTTCTGCAGAAAAATCCACGCAAATCCAATGGGCTACAGCTGCTGTGCTGCATTTTCATCGAATAAGAAAGCTTTAGAATTTTGGTTTTACTTTTCAGAATCTTTCAATAGTTTGTGTCCTGGAGCATCTCAGAGATCTCTGTTTCCCTGATAACGTGGCATCGTAGCAGTTGCTGTCATCTGGAACAATAGAAATAGTGACAATGTGTTATGGGAACAAAGAAAGCTCTCTTAGTACTGTCTCCTGCAGATAGCACCTACTGCAATTATGAAGGCCAAGAACAGGATGTGTTTTTATTTCCAGAAAGAAATGCAAATATAATCTCTTTCCTGTTACCTTTTAAATCAGCTTTTTTTTTTTGATATGTATGTTTAATAACCTGTTGTCACTTAAAATGGATAGCAAAATCCAAAATAAGCTTCTTAAGGGATTATGGAATTTACATTTTTGCTGAGATTTTGTAATTTTTATGGCGCTTTTGGAGAAACTAGTAGTATTTAGAGTAGGCATATCTAGATCAGTGATCCAATTTATGGACCTTGTTTATTCTAATAGTTTTCTAATTTCATGTGAGTTAATGTCTTAGGATAGCTCTCTTTTTAATAAATGTAAAACCTGATGTAACCTAATAATTTTTGTTAATCACATGAGATTTATATTGGTTTAATATACTCACTTGGTTTGGCTGTGGAAGCTGTCAAGATAAATTAAAAAAAAAAAAAACTACTTACATTAATCATGTTAGAGAAGTACAAGTGCGAACCAAGTTGATTAATGAAAGAGAAGTAAACAAGAAAATAGCTTCTGCAATCCTACGTAATTCAATAAAAGTTTAGGAGGAAAAATATTCTTTTCAAATTACATTTGGTATCTCATGTTTCATACCTCTAAGTGAAGATTCTTTCTACACTTCAGTGAGTTAGAGGTTGTTTTAGGTGTTCTACAGGACAAATATTCAATCAAGTGTATTTGTATGATATTTTGTAGGCTCTCCATTATACACAGCTCCAGAAGTAATAAAAGGAGAAGACTTCTCCAAGTCCAGTGATCTGTGGTCCTTAGGATGTTTACTTTATGAAATGTTCTCAGGTTGTAAGTTTGTGTATTTCTTTAATATCCGTGATAAAGAAAACCTACTTTGTGGTCCGAATTTAAATACTTGTTTACTTTTTAAGGAAGTTGAGACAGATATATTTAAGAGAGGTAATAAAAATTTCTTGAAGAATACATTAAATATGCTTAAGAAAAACAACTTGTCAAGCAATCAACTGAAGTAATACTGCTACTGAATTCCAAATGTAATATTAACCAACCTGAATCACTCAAATACTATGATTTGAAACTGTAGCAGTACTTGTGTTTGGACAATGTAATGTTCTTAATCTCTTCAGTATTAAACTCTGGATGCACTAATTTGACTTTAACTAGTCTAAAACTAGTCATTGGCTTTCCTCTGCATAAAGTTAGCATTGCCTGCAGCTGGAAGGAAATTTTCTATGCAGAAGAATTACAGTGCAGTATTCTGAAGTCTTAGACAATATACAGATCTGTTGGATCAGTATACTCTGCTATTACCTTCTCTGGCTGCTATGTCATTATTGATTCATTCAGAGCTTTCATGATGGCTTACTTCAAGCTGTCTTTAGAACATGTTCTGTCCTTGGTCTCTTTGGCTGTTCATGGTAGAAGAATATAATCCAAGGATTTGTTTTTAAGTGAACCTTTAAATTCAAATCAAGGATGTTTATTGCTTTGAATATTTCCTTAGGAAAATGAGCTCACTAGATATAATTGCACCTGACAGCCATTTTGAAATTTGCATAACTTAAAAAATAAACTTCCATTTATTTTAGGAAGACCACCATTCTTCTCAGAGAACTCTTCAGAATTAATTGAAAAGATTTTATATGAGGATCCACTGCCACCTAGGCCAAAGGGTAACGTTCTTCTCTTGTTAAATGTGACAAATTGAATCAATAGTAAAGAAGTTTTGCTTTGCAGTGTTTATTCTGAAGCTGATTACAGGAATTGTTTTGCTGTCCAAAGTGAATGTTACCATTGCCATTCCTTTGCTACGAACATTTTCCATTAATGAGAAATGCTTGTATTTCTGTTGATAAAACAGGTGTATCATTTAGTGTTAGGGATTCAAAATACATTCTGAGATGGAGTTTTTGAATTTTGTCATTCAAGACATCAGTGGTATTCATGGAGACACTTCATTAGTTTCTTATTTCAGTTCAAAGTGATACAGCAAAAAGGTGACCTATTGAGATAAAACTATTACTTGTTTCAGTTGTAAGGGAAATTTTATTTTTGAAGCTAATAGATCAATTGTATTCATGATTTTGAGCTCTCAGAAGTTTTCTTTCTTAGTTAACTGAGAATTCTGGAAACCTCTTGTGTAACAGGATGTAATAATTGTCCTCTTAAAACTATCACATCTAGGGTAAATTTCAATTAGCACAATTTTCAACTCTACTTTATTTTCATCTAATAGTTATATGATAATGGGAAGATTCATATTTTATATGAAACATAAAAAATATGAATTTGTGAATATATAAGGATATAATAATAAATGTACATTATTTTTTAAAATTAGCTTGACCAAGTATTGTTTTTTATCATCCCTTTGACGACCATTTTAATAGAAAGACTTATAATATTTATATTTAATATTATATAATATTTAATATTTTTATGCACTCTTTTTTTTTTTTTTTTCAGATGAAATTGGTGTTAAATAAAACTCTTTTAATGTCATCTTCAGATAAAGATTTGATTTACTTTGTACAGTTGATTCTGTTGTCCAGTTCTTATCTTTTTGAAGTCCTTCTATTTTCAGGTTCTGCTTTTCAGAAACCTTCTGCAGAGTTCACTAGCTTACTTGATGGATTGCTCCAAAAGGATCCTCAGAAGAGGTAAGCTGGTTGTTTGCATTGTCTTTTTCATATCTGAAAAAAAATAATAACTATGATACAATCTGGTGCAAAAAAAAAAGTAATTTTCTCCTTCATAAAAGAAGAAATAGTACATTTTCTCATGCAAACTTTATTTAATCAAAATATTAATTCTGTATAGTTTTCTACTTTTGTATGTGGTGTTGAATAGGTAACTGTTTAACAGGATGTTAGCTTTTCAAATTGGATGGCATTGGTTTTTCAGAGCAATGGGCATATCTTTTATAAGACTTTTAATTTATAGATGTTACACTTACATTTTTGTATAACATAATTATTTATAGAGTAATTTAAATATTGGGTCTGGCTAAACTGTGTACTTAATCTTTAATCTCACCTCTGTGTGTTGTGTGAATTATCCATCTCAATTTTAGGCAGAACATTTCCTCTGTAAGATAACTTATTTGTTCACCACATACCAACTAAGAACAGTAAGAGTTGCTTCATAGTATCACTGGATTCAGAACCTAGGCTGATATGCTTTTGTAGCTGTACTTTGCCACTGCTTTTTCAGTTTTCTATTGCTTCTCAAAAGGCTCAATTGGACAGACATATTGCAACATCCATTCTGGAAAGACTCCCTTAGCCATTGTGACGGTGATTCTTCAGACAGCCAGGGCTCAAGGTACTTAATGTTCTAGCAGATGTCTTCTGTAGTACATATGAACAAAAATAAATAAATATTACAGATTTAAAATATTTTTCTGTAAATTTTTCAGTCTTTGAATTTTGCTTCAGATTTTAATTTTGTTAAATACTTGCTGAGTTAAGTTTTACACAATCCAGTGAGCAGTTTTGGGTGCTTAGGAATTACAGTATCCTATCAGTGTAAGGGTATCTGTTTGCTTTCTGAAGACTCATTTCTTCTAGCTACAGAATGCTATTTTTTTTGTTTATATAACAATGATGAACAGTAATTTGACTTACAGTATTGTCCTTCATAAGCTTTATTAGCACCTTATACATGAGTCAATTTCATCTTTATTTAAATTTTTGTTTTTATGCATTAACATCAAGTCACATCAAGCACATCATCTTAAGTTTTTTTTAGCCTTCTGAATGTAGTTGACCCATATTCTTTGTTAATAGCATAAAGCATTAATCTAATGTTTTCATATTTAAATGTGAAATACTCTGCATTCCTATATAGGCAGAAACACCCAGCTCTTTTGTGAAAATAGGCTTTATTCATTGAATAGTTAGGCTTCTTCAAAATGTCTGTTAATCTCGCTGTTTTTAACTTCTCAATTTCCATTTGGAGTTGTTTCTTTGTTTGTTTTTAAACAATCTGTTGTTCCCTGAATAGAGCCTGAAATAGCATTCAAATATTTAGAACAAGTATGGAAATAGCTTTATTTTAGAACGCCACATGCTTCTGTGTTTTACCTATTTTTACATTCTGTCTCACGTTGTTGAAATACTTATTTCTGGTACCAGTGCTGCAGTATTTTTTGTTACTGATGGCTGTTCTAGTTTAAGATGCTGCTCTTTGTCTTTTAATTTTATTACTACTTTTACCACCAGGGCAAATGATTGAGATTTCGAGTTTGTATCTCAAAATCAGAATTTATTCAAAATATCAGCAAGACTTAGATTCACCATTACCATATTGCATGTCTGAGCAATTCTCAGAGAATCAAAATAATAATTACCCACAAAATATTGGACTTCTTGACTTTACTTATGTGAGTTTTCTAATGATTCTGAAATATTCACTAAGGCAGTAATTGGCACACATGAAGAACCAAGGACACAGTCTTGACATGCAAAAGAAGATCTGTACTTCTTCCTTTCAAAATGTGAGCTCCACAGGGAAGGTTTATTTGAACCAGTTCCAGGTGAACAGTTCAGGGAAATACAGAAGCAAAAGTGAAAGACTTGCTATTAAGGAAAAAAAAAAAGTTTTTATTGATCTTAATGCTTGATACAGGCTTTGATATTGAAAGCATATTGGTTGTGAATTTTTTCTCTGAAGATTGAGTGATCTCTGAAACTTACAAAATTACTCTTGTGTATCCCAGGGTATAAATTTATTCCAAATTTCTTCAATGCCAGTTGTACTAAGGGAGCTAGAGAGTTCTTTAATATTCTCCAAGTTGCTTGCTCAAAAACAATTTTTCATAATTGCCATTACCAATATAAAAAGTACTTGTAGCTCATTGCAATAGGAGGATGATTTATGAGAATGACAGCTAAATTGCACATTAATAGTTGCAATAAGTAATGGATACGATCAATCTGATCTCTTTTAAATCTTTTTAATTAATATTTCTTATTAAACAGCACTGAAGACTTGGAGTCATGGAATACCAAGGGGCCAGAAGATGCATGTACAAACCTATCACCTTCAAGAGCAGATAATAAGCTACTAAGGAATTCTTTCAAAATAGGTAATATTCATTATGTTATTTTGAATTATTTTGTTGGTCTCACCAACAAGCTTGGTCCCTGTATTTTGTTTATTTGAACATTTAAATTCAAGTTTATGTTCTTTTTTCAGTAGAAAATCCAACTGAATTGCGCCCCAAAAATGCAGTTGGTGGATCAAATGAATCCATATTTCTTCTGAGGTATGAAAATCAAAACAACAGTCAGAAAACCCTTCAAAGCCCTTCCATCCCCTCAATCTCTTAAGATTTCTTATTATTCTATTTGTAATATTTTGTAAGTATTTACTTTTGAATTTTCTAACAATTAAGACATGCTTGAAATGCAGTTAAAACAATGTGTGCAGTTAAAGCAATGCTTTTTTGGCTTTATGAAACTGATTTTGATAGGACTTCTGATTTCTTAACTGTTTGACTAAACATAAGATTCTGCTTAGAACTTCTTTTGATATATGAGAATATGCTTTGAGTATGGCTACTTTAGCTATAAAAGAAGTGTACAGCTTGAAATGCACTAATAGATTCTGCCTGCTGCCTTTCATCACAAGCTATTGGTATTACTAAGTACAGCACTAGATATTGCTTGAATGATTTAATTTCTTAAAGCTGAAGTTCTGAAGCATCGAAGTGGAGGGGAATTGCTGGCCTGTCATTTGGCACCAAAATTTACTTAACTACCAAGGTAGTTAATCAGCTTTTCACAGCAGTAACTTGTGTGTGTGCAAAGGGAATGGATCTCACTCATTTCAGCTAGTTCAATTCAATGTTTCCTTGTCTTATTTTAAATTGAGACAGAAGCTGAGAACTGGAGAAGTGAGAGATTTTTTTTTTTTTCTCTCAAGGACATGTAGATGCAAATTAGGTTTGGAAAAATATATTTACATCTCAAATATGCATTTATATGGATATCTGTATATATGTATATGCTATATGTATGTGTGTGTATATACACGCACATAGAAACATCTCTTGATGCATGTAGGAACCTTGAATTTGTCCTTCCTCCAGGCTAGAAATTGTGCTTTTTTAGTTTAGGAAATTTAATTTCTTAAACTTACAAGCAGAACCAAATTAGCACACTTTATGTAGCTAGACATAGCTAGTAGAGAATACTTAGGCAACACTTCATTTCTAACATTTAAAATTAAGTTACAGTTGAACATACATAGAAGATGCAATTTTTTAATCTAAATAAGGATAAGAATGAGAATTGTTGATCATTTGATCACTGACTTTAATGAGTATCTTAGTTCTGTCTAATATTTGTATTTTTTAGTTTAGTTGCTGTTTCTTACCAGATTGCAACTAGATATCTATATTACCTTTTGGGAGTCAAGAAAACATTTTTATTTTAGGTTGTTGATAGAATCAGTGTTTCTTGGCCTGCCAGTTTGAATGGTTCTAAAGTTAGTTTTAAACACTTTGACATGAAATAAGGTATACTATCAAACAGATTAATTTACTATCAGTTGTATTAAAATTGCAAATATAAGTGTTCTGGTCTTACTTTTCTTTGCTTTCTACTTGTGAAACAGTTTAAAAAAAAAAAAAAGTAATCCCATTTCACATTCATTTATGAAAATAAGGCTGTTTTTTATTCCTATTATCTTACAAAGATTTGGTAGTCAGAAGAGAGTAATAAAATTTACTACTATTTTTGTCAAGTTAATTCTTTTGGCATTTTGTTACAAGGAAATGTGCTTGTCATATTTTAGCATCCATTCCAGAGGCCTGACTGGACAAGAAAACAATCAAACTACATTTATTTAACAAACAGACCCAGAAAGTTTCTTATTTCTAACTGATGGACAAATTCTAACTTTGTCAAGAGTGCTTAAAGACAGGAAGATCGTGTTATGTTGCTGGGACAATATAACATTTTTGTCTGCCAGACTTCAAAGTTTACTGTGAGGCTTGAATATGAAAATAAAAATATGAAATATGAAAAAATAAAAATATGAAAATAATAATAATAAAAAAACAAATAAAACTCCACAACAGTGACCTACAGAGAGACTTAATCTGTACTCTGTTTCTTTTGAAGTTCTCGTCCTACTCCTAGAACCAGCACTGCAGTACAAGCAACTGATGTTACTATTGCCCCAATCCAAAATTCTCCACAAAAGGATTCAAGCATGACAAGGGTGAGTAGAAAAATTAATATTAAGAGGCAGTGATATAATCATAGTCAAGATCTTAGCCTGGAGACTACAACAAAGACAGCTTTCTTTCTCATCCTATAGTTATTACAGAAAAATAGTTCCTCCAGCAGTAATTCCTTTAGTGTGTAAAAATATTGAAGGAAAAAAAAAAAGTAAAAGTGAATGTTTGCAAAGCTTCCAGTGTTGGAGACAAATAAGATGCTTTGTCTCCCTTTAATTCTATGCATAAAAGAGAGGGACTATCTTTTTTTTTTAATCCATCTACATTTTAAACTTAAGTTGCAAGGTTTTTTTGTTTGATTGTTTGTTTTTTAGAGTTTTGTCTTTCTATCTACATGCATGTTTTTCATAATTTTTAATTGCAAAGTCTAGGCCCTATCAATAGCTACACAATTAAAAAGCAATTTAGAATGTATTATTTACGTGACCAAACTCTGTGGCATAATATTTAAGTGAAATATTATGGGAGTAAGCATAAACTTTCTTCTTTTGTGCAAAACAGTAATTCAGAAAACTTTGTTCTTGTTCTAGGCTAAAAATGTGTGCTCAAGTCAGCAGGATATGGAGTCAGCATTGAAAGAGCTCATTTATACTGAATCTGATCTTATCGTAACACCAATCATTGACAATCCAAAGGTATAGAAAAATAAAATACAAGACTCAGGAACTTGTGGGTGAGGCTAGTTTTGCAGATAAATCTTTAAATCAGGGTGAAACTCATTTCCTGTATTTTATAATTGAAATTTTAAAGCAGTTCCACCCAGTCATCTGGCAAGCTCTCATGCAAGTTTTTGGCTGTCTTTTCTAGTCCTATTGTATTGCTAATTTGGAGAATCGAGCTATTTTGGAGTTGTAAAGTAATGTTAAGTAATGTCTTACAATAAATAGAAGCTATTAAATGCTGTGTTCAGTGGCTTTGTAGATCTGTTTTCTGATAATTTGCTTTAATATCTGTTACTTAAATGAAAACAAAGCTGAGTGTGTTTTGGTATAAAGAAAACAAAGCTGTCCATGAAGCCACATAGTTCAGGTGTTAAACTCTTCCAGAGCAACTTATGTCATTCTTTAAGTTTTAGATATAATATTTCTAAAAAGTATGAACTTGTTTTCTGTGGAAAGGAAGGCCTGAAGTTGTATGAATCACAGAATGGCTTGGGTTGGATGGGACCTCACAGATCATCTAGTCCCAACCCCCTTCCCATGGGCAGAGTTACCAACCATTAGACTGTGCTACTCAGGAACCCATTCAGCCCGGCCTTGAACTCCTTCAGGGATGGGGCATTCACAACTTCTTTGGGCAGCCTGTGCCAGTGCCTCACCACATTCTGAAGAATTTCTTCCTAACATCTAACCTAAACTTCCCTTTCACAGAATCACCAAGGTTCACAGAATCACCTTTGTTCAGTTTAAATCCATTCTCCCTTGTCCTACCACTAGTTATGTATGAAAAAGGTGATCCGCCTCCTGCCTGTAAGCTCCTTTCCAATGTTGAAAAATGCCTCAGGAGTAAGCATTGATTTGTACAGACATCCTGTACTATTTTTGTGTCTGTTTTCATGTTTGACTGCTGAAAAACTTTCAGAAATGCATTAAAACTAATTATGTTGTTGTTTCTTTCTCCAGATAATGAAGCAAGTGCCAGTTAGATTTGACTCAAAAGCTTTACATGTACCAGCATATTCAGGTATGGCTCTGCTGACATAGAAACATTTATTCTGTATATGGTGGTATAACTGTTGCAAGATTGATAGCCTCCCTTTGTAAATCAGCTGAGGTGAGGGGAGAATTCATAACTGTTTTTCCTGAAGTTGCAGAAGTTATGTTCTTAACTAGACCAAAAAAGAGTAGAACTTTCAAGTGCTGACAGCTACATACATATAGCCTTTCTTCTGCCCTCTTATAAGCCATACTTAAAAGCTTTAAAAAATAAGACAGCCAACACTTTTTTAACATGGAAAAACAGATTTTTTATTTTATTTTATTTTTTTGTTTTGTAAAATACTGAGTTATTCAACCAGATTAAAATTTGACAAAGTTAAGGAAGCAAAAGAAAACAGGATGTTGAAAAGTGTAGTGTTGATGAGCTATAATACTTGATAGCCTGGCAATCCTGTGTATAATTGTGAAATGTTCCCAATGGACAGTGTAGATTTGTGGATACTTTTTTGTTTTGTTCTGTTTTTAACCTCTAACAAGTCTATTATTTCTGGAAACTATTTCCTCTGATTTATTTAGGGTAGTATTGTTTGGCTTTAGAGTGCTTGAAGAGGAATGTTAGACAAGTAGTTAATCTTAGAATTCAGATAGCACCTCTACTTAAACAAAGTTGCTTGTTTTTTTTCTTTCTCTAACAAACTGACTCTCCATACTTTAAAGGAATTTGATAGTTGGAGAAGAATAGAATGTCCCCTAAACAAGATTGTAATAACAAAACATTCTGAATTTGGCAAAAATGGCCATGTTTAAATACCTGAGCAAGTGCTATTTCATTTAATTTGGTGTTCAAGCATCTAAACTATCAGTCTGATATTCTGATGTGTTTAGCTGTTATTGTCTATATTTATTTAATAAAGGACAGGGGTTGTTTTTGGTTGTAAATATTCTATGGTTATAGCTTTTTTTTTCTGATTTGTTTTTTAAGGTAATGAATTTGCTGCTGCTTATCAACACTTTTTCCTTACCATAAAAAAAAAAAAAAAGGAGTAAAATATATAAATACCTGAAATTCACACTGCCTGAACTGTTCATTAGACAATGTTACTTGCATATAAAATAGATAGAAAGGATGTCCTTAGATATTCTGTATTGGAGCATGCCAGGATGGCAGATAAGTTTTTAGTAAGTCCAACCAAAACTGTGATTGCTAAAGTGAACTGAATTTAGTCCTTGAGACTGATAAGGAAGTATTTGGAAAGTTCAGTTCCCATACAGTCATCAGTGAGATGATGATTACGCTCACTCTCCAAGCAGCTGTTGACTTGTATTGCTCTTGAAGTCATCTGTGTTCAGTTACTCCTAAGATTAAACCAGGTGGATACCTGTCTATATTAAAATTAATTAGTATTTTAGGTTTGTTGCAATTGCTTCTGAGAGAATTTTGATGACATTCATTAGTTTCTGCCTCAACTTTGCTGTAAAGAAACAGCATGAAATATTGGAATTCTGATTAGATTAAAATTTTCTAACTTATTCATGCTGATGTTACTTTCTAGTGTATTAAAACAACATAAATGATCTTTAACTACTTGTTTGCTTCTTGTGTTAGCTGAGAAGTTGTCATCTCTGAAGGATGCGGACTGGAATGACTTCTTGCACCAAGCATGTTTGTTGCTTGATTCCACTGAGAAGAATCCAGGAACAGCACGTTCTAAACTGAATTTACTGTCTTACCTCTGTACTGTGGCTGGCCACAGGGAAGTTGCAAGCAGGCTAATTAACTCTCAGCTGGTAAATAATAAAGCTCTGAAGGAATCAATATGGTTTATGTAGCATTGGCATTGTAGCAAAAATCAGCAGCATTTATATTTAAAAAGCAAAACAACAACAAAAAAAACACTACTACACCCTAGTGAAGAAAAAAGGCAAGTTAAGTATAAAACAAACAAACAAAAAACCCAAAATCTGTTGAATTCCATGTCTGTTTTCCTAATGGAGGATTGCTCTAAGTATTATTCTATTATCACTGGAGAATTATTATTAAATATTTTTACAATAATCCAATAACTGTATTGCTGATTAGCAGAAGACTTTAGAAATAAGTGCTGATTGTGCATTAACTCTCAATTCATTATTTTAGCATTTGGCAACTATTTCACTTCTTAAATAATTGTTTGATAATACTGCATGAAAATCTATTTTTCTAAATGAAAGCATCAGTTTTTCCATTGTATAGTGGCACTCATAAAGAAAATAATGCTAATTTTCACAAGCTGGTATACATTTATCATTGTGGCTTAAGGGAAGAATGTTGGGAAAAAATGCCATGATTACATTCAGGAATTCTGTTCTTAATTGATATGTTGGGCAATGTCTGCAGTGTTCGCCTATAATATTGGTTTTTTTACAAATGCTATCCAAAAACATTTTAGATAATTACTAGTATTTTGTTCTTTTTTTTTTATTTATCACTGAAATGCATCAGATCACTATACCATTAATATTTGCTTATCTTCTTCAAATTATAGTTTCCAGTGTTAATACAGCAGCTGCGTGCCGCCACCAACTGGGATATGTAAGTAACAATTATTTTACATCAATTTCTTCAAATGTGGTATTATTACTGAATTTTATTAAGGATGTACTTCTTCAGAGTTTTTGAGGAGTGTTTTTTTTTTTTGGCCTTTCAAACCACTGTGGTACTTGATTGGCAGTATGATGTAAGTAACATTTTTTTATTATTATTTTTTTTTGGCGTTGTATTAATATACTGCACTTTTGTAAGACCTAAGTTTATATTAAATGTCTAAAATTTTATCTGAAAGCTATATGACTTACTGTGTCAAATATTATTACTTCAATTGCTGAATAAACCAAACTGTTTCATAATGATTGGAAAATATTTCTAATGGTAGTTTTTTTAAATGTTAGAAATATTTGAAGGTGGTAGTGCCCTCTGCTGCTTATTTAATAAGTGTTGATATTACTGCTTCTTTTTTCTTTAATGAAGCATTTAAAACTGATTTGCTGCAATACATTTATTTTTTTGTTTTGTCAGCTATACTAAAATGTTTATAAGGATCTATTGAAGGGTTTTCAGTATTTTAAGAAAACTGAGTGGGAGCATGACTGATTGTGAAGACTGTAATAAACTAAAGAATCTCCATTTTTCATTGCTAAGAGTAAAAACATACCTTTTTGCATGAATTTATTGCTAAGTTAAGCTGAACTACAGACAAAATAAAGTAGCACATTAAAAAAAAAAAAAAAAAAAAAGACAAAATTCACTTGTAAATAGCACTTAAATGGTTCCTGCCTTTGGTAATCTGTACGAAATACATGTAGGCAGGAAAAAATTGCTTTTGTCATATTTTTGAAACAGTTTTTCTTTACCTGAAAAAAATGTATTTCATATGCAGACGTGCTAAAGTGGCTCGAGTGATTGGTTTGCTCGCACTGCACACATCTGAGCTTGGAGAAAGCATACCTGTGTCTGAGGTGACTTTCCATTTCATCTTTTTAATATTGTTAATGCTTTTACTTGTATGTCAGATTTTCACTGCTTTATTTCCTGCATATGTGAAAAGGGAAGTAATTCAATTAAATACATAAAAGTGTGTGTTCGTTCTATGTAGCTGTGGTTGTGATATTTAGAAAACTCTGTTAATGCTAGAGTATGAAAAATTGCAGCCTCTTTTTCTTCTCTTTTACAGAACATCAAGTAGTCACTGTCATACTTTTGTTTTGTGTGTGTATGTGCAAAGAAGATGTTGACATATATTGCTATGCTGCAGTGCAGTCACTATTAGCATAAAAATAGTACAACTGCTTTGTACAGATCTTTTTTCCCCTCTAGAAGAAGTAATGGAGTTGGGACTCATTTGAGATTTCTCTCAATTCTTGAAGAATGTGTATAATGAAAAGTCAAGTGATTTTCTGTGGAGATGAAAACGATTTTGAATCTTCTGTTCATTTTGTATTCTCAGCAGCTGACTAAACTGAAGAATAATTAACAGATCTTATTTGTTTTTTTTCCTACATGTGATACATACATGCTGCACAACATAACTGTCTGCTTCTCAATATCTGTTTAAAGCTGTGAAGCTGACATTGTTTTTGCTTTGTGAGATGCAGTCAGTATTTGAATGTGAGAAACACAACTACTTGTTCCACTTTGCAAATACAAAATATAATAGTTAAAGTTCCTTCAAAGACCACTGAGTCCATCTGTCTGACCATGTCAGAGCTAACCAAAAGCTAAGGTATGTTACTGGGGGCATTTTCCAAGTATCTTTTGAACACTCATAGGCACAGAGCATCAGCCACCTCTCTGGGAAGCCTACTCCAGTGTTTTACTATCCTCATGGTACAGAAAATTTTCCTAAGTGCCCAGTTTGACCTTCCTCTGGCCCAGCTCTATGTTGTTCCTATGTGTCCTGTTCTCAAAGACCTGGGTGAAAAGCCCAGCATCACCCTCTGCTTGCCCTTCTCAGGGTGCTGTAGAGAGCATCATATGCCTTCACGCTGTGCAGATCTGGTATGTAGAAAATGCAGTTAATGGTTAATAGTTAACTTTTTTAGCAGTAGACTTAAGGAGTCTTTTTTTTTTTTTAAGGTCCCAGTGTGTTAGTTTTTGTTGTTTTTTCCCTCTTACTGAATATTGTACCTCATAATTTCATTATCCAGAATAATGATGGTTATTTTGCTTTTACAGGAACATAAAAGTCATTTACAAATATAATTCAGCATTTTTTAGAAATTTGCCTCTGCTTAAAAAAGCAAATTAAATGTGTTGCCAGTGACACTGAGGAACTAGAAACAAAAATTAGTTCTCAATACTGTCTTGACCCCATTCTTATATGAATTAAAATTAACTTATATGCTCTGATTAGGAAAACAATGGTTTTGAGTTAAAATGTTGTTCAAAAGGCAACTGCTGTGTTTGCTGTAGTGGCAGTTATTGCAAGTTTTCTTCTTAAAATAATTTCTCAATGTAAAAAATATTTTAGAATGCCTACAAGGCTAGAATTAGGAAAAAACATCTAATTCTAATATCTTCAGTGTTGTAACTTCTGGTCTACAGTCTTGATTCCTGCCCTCAAGCTGCTAGAACTGGATGAATAGCTAGCTTATCATTCCTTGGAACTGTCAGCTATTGCATATTGTGTAATGCTGTTTTAAAAGTTAAAATTATTTTCTTATTTCTTCTTAAAAAGAGAGAAAGCAAAAACAATTAATTTTGAACAACGTTGTATGCTGTAATAAAATATAGTATATTTTATCCTGTTATATAACCAACTGATGCTCTGGCTGAAGTTTCTTGATGGCTGATGTAATTTAGGAAATGTCAAGATCAAGCTGTAACCAGTCAGAACATAATAATAATCTAAAATGATTGCATAATCCAGTTCTTGAGGACTTCAGTTTATAACGTACAATCCCTGAACTGTAAGCCCTAAAAGAAAGTCCTTTACTAAAGTGAGCTAAGGTTGATGCGATTGTCTTGGTCCAGCGGGCTGATTTAGCTTTCCTATAGTACAGAGGCAAATATGGGAAATGTGGAGAAGCACAGAGGAGTAATACAAGTACGTACTCCTGTTTCTGCAAGATACACTCTATGCCTCCAGCAATAGGTATCTCTAGGATTTCCTGAGCCAGGTATTTGAATTTATCTACTTGTCCTCCAAACCCTTCCAAGGTTTTATCATCCATAGCATCCATTGGGAAGAGACTGTGCAGTTAAACAATATGCTGTGTGAGGTAGCATTCATTTGGTGTGAACTTGCCCTTGATAGGGTCATTCTGAGGCCCATTGGTTCTTACACTACACACGAAGCACAAACTTTCATGTTCATCTTATCTGCACCAGTTATGAGATACGGTGGGATGGTTAAGGCTTGAATTATTTTGTTTTTTTGCTAATCTCTATTCCAGATAGAATTGTTGTAATGTTGTTAGTTCCTCATGCTGAACCTCTTAAAATTTTGTTGATCCTTCTTGCCATTTTACATTCTTTTTCAGATCCCAGTTTCACCTTTTTAAGACTGGGGATCAGGACTGCTTCCTCTAATAAGATGCAGACACATAAGTGATCTGTCTATTGGTTTGGAAAATTTGGATTTTCTATTTACTTCCCATTCTGTTCCTAGTAACTACTAACAATTTTATTTTTATTTTTATTTTTTTTTGACTGCTGTTGAGCAGACTTGATCTCTGTGGAGCCATTTCCTACAATCCAAGTATTTTTATTCCCAAATATGAAAAGTCAGTTCAGAATTGCATGAAAATGAATTACTGTAGAATTACTGTTGCCCCTATGCATGTTGTGCTATGTCTACTAAGTTTTCTTTTCCATTTTTATTGCTGCATTACAATCCCCTTATAGTGTTGTAAATTCATTATTCACTCGTCCAGTTGTTTATGATTTCTTTTGTACTTTTAGAAGTAGCATGGGACCTCAGAGAGACTCGTGCAGGGTAGCACTGCTGGCTGTTTCATGTTAAAATGTTTTTTCATATCTACCCTTAGTTTCCCGTTTTTTTACCCAGTTATGCATTTATTTGTGGACATTTCTTCTGTTTTTGAAGTTAAATTGCACCATTAATCAGTTTTTGTTGCTCAGATGGTTTGTTAAATAGCAGCAACCATGAGCTGCAGAAGTAGAATAATTTTAGGAAAGAAAAGAAGCCTCGTCCTTACGTCACATAGTAAATTTTCATGTGCTCTGTGCCAAAAGGCCTTGATTTGTGCCCTTTGAAGAATTAACAGTTGTCCTCCTCTTTTTTTTTTTTTTTTCCTACCACCTAAGGGAAAAAGATGTTTTTAAGGCGCTCTCAGGAAAAACATTATTACACACGTAACCACTAGAGGTCAGTAAAACACAAATAAAATGCAAGTCTGCTACTGTTTCTCATAACATCATCTGCTGGAAAAGTCTAGACATATATATGACAGTGGAACTGCGTACTATTTTGATTCTGCTCATATATTCTAAGCTGCTGATAATTAATTTGCAATTGGTCTATTTCCAATTAAGTGTATTTTAGAACAGTACCTCATTGAATAGAGAGACTGATCGTAAAATATAAGAGGGAAATTGATCTCTTGTATATTTATTCTTCAAGTCAGAATGAAGACATTTTGTGCAATTTCTTTTACCTGGTAGTTGCAATAAAAAATTGTTGAGGCACTTGCTGAAGATCAGTTGCTTTCTGACCTACTAATGGTTGTGTGAATGAGTTTTTTGGTATTTTTTTTCCTATGGAGTTGCCATTTACAAATCAGAAATATATTTTTTTCTTATTTATTCCTAGTTATCTTAGTAGAAGAGCTAAAGCTTCCTTTAGCTCAAACCCAAACTTAGGGTTTGAAACTGGTTTTTGCAGAATTAACTGCTAGTGCTTAGAAAAATCTGCTTACTCTATATTTGTAGTTAGAGAGGCTTGCTTCTGTGTATGTCTAATCTATCTTATTGATGACAAGAAACTGTTGTTCTTTCCTCTCTGTGAATATGTAGTGTTTCCCTCTGGATAGGCACATCTGCTGTGATGTAAAATTTCTGCCTTCACCTTTTATTTTAGTGATCCTCAAGGAGATCATAAAGAAATTCACCAAATGCTTTTGTGTCAAGGAGCAGCATCCTTCTTTGTCAGGTACAGGACCAGTCTTCCCCCACTTAAGGAGTCACATTCTGCTCCCCTGCTTTTTGGAGGCAAAATCTTTCTTCTTGTTTCTCTCTTTAAAATTTGCTGAGTGCAAATATCAGTCTCACATGACCTCAGCCTTTTATCCTACACACATGTGTCCATTGCTTTGCTGAGAGGATTTGGTGACTCTGCTATACAATTTTCTCACCTGCAAGTTTCTTTGCAAAGCCTTTGGCTTATGGAACTCCATGGGCAAATTAATGAACTTGAAATTCCATGTAGAATGACAGAGTGTCTCTAATACTGGGCTTAGGACGTCATTCTTTTGTCAGAGCAATGGAGTATCTTAATGTGTTTTTATCCAAGTTGAAACTGCATATAACTTGAGCCTTTTTATTTCTCATTCTTGTGGTACAATTTGCTAGTTGTTTTGTACAATTCCATTGCAGAGCTGCACCATTATAAGTTCAGCTTTACGGTTCCTTTTTCTAGCTAGTCTGAGCCCTACTTTTGGAATAGATGTACAGTTTGTTCTCATTAAAATTCTCATACAGTGCTGACGTTAAGTCCTGTTCCTGGCTTCTCTCTGATTATTCCTGTTTCTAGGCCTATACACATCTGCCTGTACTCTGAGGAGATTCAAATTAGAAGAGAAGGTTTTATTTGAACTTTTATTCCAACCTGTTTAGTTTTGCTATTTTTATGGTAAAAGGATTATTGAATTCTGCTCACAAGTGATCATATTTGAGTTTATCCTTGTCTGCTTCCTCCAATGGCACTTAGCTTAACATACACTGTTTCTTCTTATGCAAAAATAATACCAATTAAAAAAAACACCCAAGCTTTAGGAAG